CATGTTATTATGTGCATAGTAGTGAGCACTACTTTATCATTTATGCTCATTCCCACCTGCTCTGCACGGATGCAGGTTAAGCAGTGGCCGGGTGACGGGACAAAGGGCGAGTGGTGGTATATTTATTGTTTCGTTTTGCTTCCGTTTTAATAATATGATTGCTATGATCCTTTCTATGAATTGGACATGTGAAAACTGTTTTCTAACTATGTTACGTTTTCATGTTCGGGAATATTTTGGAAACCTTTTTCGAACCTTGAATAATCATGGTGTTTGATTTATGAGGTTACAATTGTTCATATTGGATATTATGTCAAGGTGTGAATCAGGTTAATGAAAACCTTGTAAAAATCTGGTTTATAAATCCCCGTGGGTCCAGATAAGACTTGGACTAAGAAAAATGTGTTGGTTAATGCCCTTGATTTCGAAAATGGATTCAAAAAATTTGTTTTGATTTTTAGAAAGTCTGGAATTTCTTTAAAATCAAAGTGGGGTGTTACAGTTTGGTATCAGAGCCAGTCTGCATTTCTGTAGACTGGTTTATATGTGAGTATGTGTTTAGACCTTGTAATATGACCACTCGTCTTCGTCACTCCGCGCTGCTTAAGGTATGTTTTATATAAGTATCAATGAAAATACTTATAATGTGAATTGTGATTTTGCACGAGTAGCAATGAAACTACTTGTGATGTTTTGCACGAGTAGCAATGAAACTACTTGTGATGTTTTACATGAGTAGCAATGGAACTACTTATGAGGTTTTGCATGAGTAGCAATGAGACTACTCATGAAGTGATATATATGTTGTTTTGGGGCTTAGGAAACCTACCCACCTCAGGTTATGTGAACTCTAGTGTTTGACATTGAACTCTAGTGATATAGAGTTAAGTTCGGACTCTAGAGATTCCTAGTTGTGAGTTTCAGTATATTATTATTGAGATAAGTGTTGTTTATAGCATTTTCTCGCTGTAAGATTCGTTCAGTGTCCTTAGAGTAGGACTATTCGTGACCCATCTCGAAAGAAAAAGGTTAAGTACCGAGTGTATCTCTAGTGTATGAGATCACTCGGGGAAATAGAACCTCAGTCGTTGAGGACTGGGAATGTCATTTAGAGTCGCGAATGCGTTGCTAATCGACCCCCATAGTTTAGGAGAATCTAATGCGTATCACCGTCGTAACCCTTGAGAGTGGCTAAGCCTCGAGAGGGACGATGGTTGATAATTCTCGTACGTTAGATCGAGCATAAGTCCTGAAGACTGATGCATGGATGAAAGACGACGACATCGCCCATTGGACGAGTGGATTACTCCGACATCGCGTGAATATCCTGTGCGTTGGCTGCAAGGAACGCAGTTGTAAAAGGTATGAATTTGTAGTTAAGCATGATGTTGTGGCTCTATATGACTAGAGATGTTAAAATTGATGTTATGAAAAGCATGCTTATATGATTGAACTTGACGATTATTGCACGACTGAAATTCTTTAAAATGTATTATGTGGTGATCGTATGAGATTATGTGAATTTGTGTTAAAAATCATGTTAGGGCTGACTCTCTTATATTGTATATGCGCGTACATGATTTGTATATTGTGATTACATGTGACCCCTGATGCTACGTACATGAAATTATGTTTTTGTGCTGAAAATCGTATGAGAACTTCTCGTTATAGCCTCTGTTTGTGCTCGGATTATCGTGGCCTAAAAGCTATTTTCTGGTTAAGAATTCTTCATAAATTTTGTAATGCTTTGAGTTAGGTTTCTGTGAGTTTTACAATTTCATGATTCGGAGTTGAATTGAATTTATTATGAATTTTTGAAGTTGTAACTGCGAGCAGTTTTTGAAATTTGGGGCAGAATTGTGAATCATGATGTTGGGCTGTTTTTGACAATGTTAATGTGACTATATGAAAATACGATCAACATGAAACTTGTAGTACATGTTATAAGCTTTCTCTGGAAGTTAAAATCTTGCAATTTGGTGTTTTATTTGATTTTATATGATTTTTCAAAATTGGAGTTATGTTCAGAATTTTTAAAACAGTGGCTGTGTTTACGATTGAAATGTATGCTCTGAAATGAGGCCCTTAACATGATTATTTGTAAAGATAACCTTCTTGGAACTTGTAGCAATTCAAGTGTAGCTTCTATAAGTTTTGAGTTTGTATGATTTGGAGCTTTGTGGCATGAGATATTCCTGATTTAGTGACCTGTTGTAATTTATAAATAGTTTTGTTGGCATATTTCTTGACCTAAGTGTTTTATGCTTAAACCCGATTTTAAAAGTTATTTTTGGCTTAAGTGATCAACATGAAAGTTGTACATAATTGAGTTAGCTATCTTGGAGATTTTGAATTTTAGTAATATAATGTTTGTAGCTTCGGCTATTGTGCATACACTGAGAACCTGTCAAGCTGTATGTCTTCATTTATCCACTGCACCTATGTTTTGTATGTTTGCTGTATTATGTGCATTTCAATGATTTTATCTGCCTGAGTATTCTTCATGAAAATCATAGAGGCCTGAGTTAGGGATATTTTTCAAGTGGTTTCATCATGATACGATATCTAGACTGGAAGCTACATGCATTTTAAATTCATCACGCATGCTAGAAATTGGTGCAAGTTCATGTTTAGGTTTCCAAATTGAGTTATGAATTTCAAAATTAGGTTTTCGTCAATTTTCATGTATATGTGCCCTATTTGACTTAATCTGATTAGTATTATAATGTTAGCTGGAAACACTTGCGAGAGAAGCTTTACGCTAGACCTCGATGTGTGAAAGCTATAGGCTGTGTATGTGGATTAGACTCGTTTAGGACTGCCGACACGATTAGCTACCTGAGTAAAAGCTGTCGTGATGGCCGACACTGTTAGTCGGTAGAGTCAAACGAGCTAACCATTATGTTGTTCGGCGTTGACCGTCGAGTTAGGATTGTTCCTGGCGGTGACGCCAATGCTCGTTCCCTTTTGGGAAAATTGTTGTTGTCAACCCAAACCTTTGTAATTTTGAGTCTTCGGGAGAAAACCTTCTTTCCATTTGAGTACCTAGGAATTGTGAAACCCGGAAATTTAATTTCTGGAATGCATCTCGAACCGAGTGCCGAACCTGACTGGGTGTAGCCACGCGAAGTGGTGGCCGAGCCCGCACGCCCGTGTTGAGAGACGTGAGGCCAACTGCAATGGCCGATCGTTGACTCGCACGAGCGTTGCCGCCGCCATGACCGAACGCCAAACTCCCCAGGTCAGTGTGTACGGCCAAACCTTGACCTTGTAGCTGGTATCCGAGTGTGTACATGCACGCGTCCCAGCGCCCCGCATATGCAGCGCCAGCGTGTGTGTCACCTCTCGGGAGACAGTGCATTAAACCTAGTCCGACCTTGTCCTTTTAGGGGTCTTTGAACCAGATTTTTGGTCAAAGTGTAAGTTGATCTTTCGAGTCGTTGTGTGAATGCCCTAATCAACAATCCCCGGTGTATGAGGTTTGTCGATTAGTTTTCCATGCCACATGCGAGATTTTCTCAAGATGGCGAGATAGTAGTTTCCGTAGTAATGTGGGGGCGGAGCCTTGAGTCTCGACTGGAGACCGACTCAGCGGGAGGAAATCGCTATTGAGTATCTTGTCGTTACTCCTGAAGCCGCATACGAGGTGTTACTCGTGTCGGCAATGGGTGAGGCCTTGTCATCGGTATAAAACAGAATCATGTGTTCTAAATGTACCAGATTTGAGTATAAGTGTCGATTGTCTGTCCTATCCTGATTTCTCGACCAAGTCAATAGCTTAGCCTGATGGTTGACTCCACCACCGGGACTTGCGAGGATGCATGACACGTTCTAGCCTCGTGTTGGAGGGAATGTGTGCGTGATCTCGAGGTATGTGTGAATTGACGAGCTGCGTGATAGACAGAACCCTACCTGTATGGAGGTACCAGTGACCTGTTGAGACCGATGGTCCATCAGGGAAAGACCGGGAGGGGTATTCGTCAAAGTCCAGTAGTGGTAGTCGAGTCGGGGGCGAGATGACTTGGGAGAGGGAAACCGAGATTCGGAGGGAGTACCGAACACCTTGTGTTGATATTCCCCTTGTATTCTGGTAGTTTTATTTTCGAATTTTGAGGACGGAATTCTTTGTAAGGTGGATAGACTGTAACGCCCCGTTCGTTTATGAATAAATGGATTATTATTATTATTATTATTATTATTATTATTATTATTATTATTATTATTATTATTATTATTATTATTATTATTATTATTATTATTATTATTATTATTATTATTATTACATTTGTTATTGCTAAATGCCTAATTGCTATTAAATGTCTAAATTTGTCTAATTGTTATTATGTATTTCAAATGATTATTGTTAATAAATATTTTTGTGTATTTTATATGTATGAAATATATTTCAGTTTAATCGCGTAATTTTATTTCAAGCCTTTTTCCAGTTATCTATTGGACCTTAGTCTTAGCCCAATTTCTTTTTCTAATTCGGCCCTTATGCAACTTTGATATTCGATCCAATCGACCCTATATCATTCCATCATGTGCTTTAGAATTATTGTTCATCTTTTGCTAAGTGTAGGGAGTTCTAAACTTCAAATCTTATCAATTTTTATTTTGGTAAGTAATAGATCTTTCTCCACTCATTTTGACCGTGTCCATATCTCCTCACTTTATGCTAATTGATATCATCTTTTATGGTGAATTATACCGCAAATTAATCACCTTGATTTCATTGCTATTAATTAAGAAATTCTCAAAAAAAATTTCCTCTCTCCATCCACTTGCACGAGATAAACCAACAAATCAACTCCATAATTTCCTCCATCAAAGCCGTGGGATTTTCTGGAAAAAAAAGAAAAGTCATCTCCCTCATCCCGCGTTTCTCTGTAACAAATCTCAAGCACTCTGTTCTCTTTTCAAAAATTTTCCCCTCGCACCTTTGTCTCACCCCTATTAGCAACAGTCGCCAGTTGCCATTTTAAGTCGCGAACTTCAAGGCCCCATGCCGATGTCGCCCCTCCCTTTCACCCGAACAGCGAGCGACACCTGTTTCCGCGAGCAGCGGCGAACCACCATCACCGAGCCCTCCGACCACCATCGTGAAGCTTCCATCGACGAACCTCAGTCGTGAACCCTTGTCTGTCGCTCACCTCCGCGACTCCTTCCAGGCGCGAACAAGCAGCAGATGCCGACGACCCTTCCATCGCAGCGCCTCCGTGAGCAGGTTCATGCACAAGGACTCTAACTGCGAGCCCTCCTCCGTCCGAGAAGCATCCACGACCTCCGATGGGGCTGAATTCTTGCGAGCCTCGACCTCCATTGCAGTAGTGCGGTTCAGACTGAAACGGAGTTACTCGGGTGCAGTTCACGGCCGACGGACGCCACAGCGCCACCCGCTGATCCCTTTGTTGCGGTTCCAGGCCAATGAGCATGCTGCCAACGCCCCGGTGAACGTATGGAAGCCCCGCAAGGAAGAAGAGACGCCCCGCACGTAATCCGCCGAGCCCCGCCGGTGCGCACACAACCCCGTTTCGACCCTTTCACGTGAACACATCCCGAGAACGGTACCCGGGCTGACCCTCGAATTATATTATGTGCTCCCATATGTGTATAATATGTGTTTAGGTGCTCATATGTGTGTTACATTTCTGATCGTGTGAGTTTCGAGTTAATTTCGTGCCTTAGCTATGTACTTGTGTGATTATTGATATATAATTGCCATTTAAATATCAAAGTGATTGTCGTCACTTTGAAAAATTATTGAACTAAGGCTAATGTGTTATTTCCGTGGAAGTGCTGTGGAATTTTGGACTTAGGAATGTCCTTGACGCAACGACTTTGGTCTTGTGTCGTTTCGTTGTGTATTGTAAGTTATGCATTTTTGAAAATTTTGCTGCAGCCCGTTTTTGCTAAAATCACTATAATTCGTGTATTGATCCAAAACTTCTGATTTTTGGATATGTTGTAATGTTGTTGTTGTAGTACTTTTGGTTAAAATATGAGATTTTTATATGGCCTTTAGCCTTGTCAAAACTTGAAAACCATTTCTGGACTATTTCTTAATAAATTCATATAAAATCGAGTTCCTCTCTAAAATGGCTAATTTTTTGTATTGTTGCTGTTCTTCATGTTATCTTGCTGCTGTAAAAATTTCAAAGTCAAATTCGGACTGTAGCTATTTAAATTAATTTAATTCTATTTCTGGTCAGTTTTTGCTTGAATTATTTAAAATGGTTAGGAGCATGTTTAGGGGTTTCCTTTGGTGAAAATGTGTGATTTTCAGCCATTTATTTGCTTTAAAAATTTGAATTGTAAAGTCCAAGCCTAACCCCTTATGGTCTCATTCAATTTATTTTGAACTAGTATTTTTTAATCGTTTTTGGCTTTGTTGGCAATTGCTTGACCCGTTGACCCCGTTTTTATGTCAAACTTTCATCTATTACTTTTATTAAGATTATATAATTGGTTGGTCGAGTCTAGGAGTCGTCCTAATGTTCCAACTCCACAACTTCCACGAGTTTCTTAGTCGATGTGATTCGATTAAGTATAATTCTCGTTATCTGTGTAAGAGTCGAGATAGTTGCTTATGGGACCGTCTTGACTTATGTAGGTGTTTGACGAGCAGTTTCTCAACCACCTCCGACTTCTGGTTAATTTGCTTTATCAACCGATTCCAGGTGGGTTTACTTATAAAACTGTCTATGCCATACGTGTTGTTTATTGTTTAGTTGGTATGACCAATGTATGAATGTGAGCCATGTGGCCTACCGATGCGAGCTGTTGCGGCCATCGGTACGGTTGTCCCCGTCGAGTTACGGTACGGTTGCCCTTGCGAGGCAAGTCTCCTTAAGACCTAATGAAAGGCCGTGTCCGTTACAGTGGCACGCACTCCCGTCGTTAGGGTTTATGCATCCCCTTTCCGCGGCTAATGATAGATGTGCACATGAGTTAGTTATTGTTGTGATTATTAGGAGATGAGACATGATGATGATTGATTTATATTCATACTGCGACCATACCATCTTTACATGTTATTATGTGCATAGTAGTGAGCACTACTTTATCATTTGTGCACATTCCCACATGCTCTTCACGGATGCAGGTTAAGCAGTGGCCGGGTGACGGGACAAAGGGCGAGTGGTGGTCTATTTATTGTTTCGTTTTGCTTCCGCTTTAATAATATGATTGCTATGAACCTTTCTATGAATTGGACATGTGAAAACTGTTTTCGAACTATGTTACGTTTTGATGTTCGGGAATATTTTGAAAAACCCTTTTTCGAACCTTGAATAATCATGGTGTTTAATTTATGAGGTTACAATTGTTCATATTGGATATATGTCGAGGTGTGAATCAGGTTAATGAAAATCTTGTAAAAATCGGGTTTATGAATCCCCGTGGGTCCAGATAAGACTTGGACTAAATAAAATGTGTTGGTTAATGCCCTTGATTTCGAAAATGGATTCAAAAAATTTGTTCTGAGTTTTAGAAAGTCCAGAATTTCTTTAAAATCGAAGTGGGGTGTTACAACGATAAACGGAGTCCCACTTCACCCAGTGGGTCTGTCGCTGTCCCCGCGAGCCCTCGCCATGGCTCCAAAAATAGCGAGATAAGATCTGATCTAGCTCGTGAATCGTAGATTGATAGGGATCGAGCACCGCGAGAAGGTGAATGATGAGGGCACAAAGAGTGCTCTTGATCAGAGCAAGTTGACCCCCGAATGATAGGTGTCTATGCGACCAACTGGAAATCAGGTCAATCATCCTCTGACGGACGTCGATGAAAAGCTCATGAGAGGGATGGCCCTTGTACAAAGGTGCCCCAAGGTAAGGGATGGGTAAGTCTCCCCGAGCAAAAGCAGTGCGCTCGTGGATCCTGTGAGCCCACTGATCTACAATGTGGTGGTCCATGATAAAATTTTTCTTACTAGCACAGACCAGCTGGTCAGAGGTCTCACTATAGTGCTCCAAAAGACTCATGAGATCGACTAGCCCATTATCATTCGCACGAGTGAAAATGATAATGTCATCCACATAAAAGAGGTGGGATATGGGAGGCCTACAGCCACGCGTGATACAAGTCATCCTCAGAAAATTGCAAATGAAACCGTCAGAGAAACGCCTACTTGACCCCATCATATGCCTTCGCCATGTCTAGCTTCAACACGAGGTTCGGGGTTTGTGTTTGATTCACATGAGAGATATTGTGAATCATCTCTTGAGCCAAAAGGATATTATCACTAATGACTCGATCCTTGATGAATCCACTCTGGTTCGGAGATACAAGGTAGGGGAGAAGAGGGGCGAGAAGCCCATTAAGGATCCTAGAGATGAGCTTGTTAGTCACATTGCATTAGCTGATAGGTCTATAGTCGGACCGGTAGCTCGGTCCGGGTCTCTTAGGGATCAAAATGATAAAGGTTGCTGTGAAGGACTCTGGCATCTGGTGGCCAGAGAAGAAATCCCTTACAGCTTCCTCTACGTCAGTTCCCACAATCTCCCAGCATGACTGGAAGAAGAGGGACGAGAAACCATCTGGCCAAGAGACACTGTGGGGATCAATCCCAAACATAGCCTCCCTGACCTCCTTCTCACTCGGGAGGTCGCAGAGGCCAATAAGGTCGTCCGACTGCGGGATGGTCGGCAAAAGGCCGGGGTTGGGATACGTAAGCAAGTCCCGCTCCGAGGAAAAGAGGGAGTGGAAGTAAGCCCTAGCCAACACCCGTATCTGGGACTCCTAGGTCACTGATGATCCGTTATCCTCGATACTATGGATATACAACTTGATCGCTTCTTGATCACAAACCCCTAGAAGTACTTGGTATTACGTTTCCCCTCAGTCCCCTAGCGAACAGCAGCCTTCTGCTTCCAGAAATCTTTCTCCATAAGAAGGCGCAACTGGTACTCAGCATGGCAGCGGCGCATCACGGTCCTATTTTTTGGTGAAGAGTCCAGATCATAGTTCTGTTCAGCCTCCGCATATGCAGTCTGAGCTGCAGTAAGGCGCTGAGTAATATCGCCAAAAATCGTCCAATTCCATTGCTTCAAAACGCGGCGGAGTCTCCCGAGCTTATCCTCCAGGCTGCGCATCCCATAAAGGTGCGTAGTCTGCTGCCAGAAAGCTCTAACAATATTGTAGAAAGAATGGTGGCGGACCCACATATTCTGGAATCGAAAGAAAGATCAGCGTGGGGAAATAGAGAACATACACAGATCAGAAGAGGAGCGTAATTGGATCCAATTCGAGGAAGGTGTGTTACAATCATGGTCGCAAACACCCTCGTCCATGCCTTTGAGTATAAAGTGCGGTCGAGCATCTCCTTAACTTCGGCCCCCTCCCATGAAAAGGGAGCCCCTTCGTATCCAGCATCAATTAGCTCACAATCCGACACAACGTGTGAGAAATCTAAGATCTCCGCCGAGCGGTCTGATAGGCTATCAATGCGTTCATCGGGATGCAAAAATATGTTGAAATCACCGCTGACCATCCACGGTAATCCCTTCATACTCTCGAAAATGTCACACATGGTGTCCCAAAGATCATATCGACCAATCCTCGGACAACTGGCATAAACCAAGGTGTGGAAGATTAGTTCCGGAAGGTGGGCAGTGGCGAGCTTCACGTGCAAAACCTCATCAGTATCTCGGATGATCTGGCAAGTAAAGTCACATGAGTGGAAAAACCAAATCTTATTAGAGGTGTTGCCCACCCTGGCGTGGAAGCCAAGACGACGTGAGTATATGTCAAAAGAGGGGTCACGAGTCATAGACTTTTAGACAGCCGCAAAGTCCAGGTTATTATCACGAATGAGAGAGCAAACGTGAGCAAGGGTGGTCATATTAGCCAGGCCACGGGCATTCCATGTTAGCGATGTGACTGACATGTCAAACGTCAGTGGTGCCGCCTAACTAGAACTGTCCATGGTTGGGCTGTGTCTGTATGTCTGGTGGAGACAAAGCTCGGCTAGCAGAGCGCTGCACATTCCTTGATCTGGTATGTGGTCTACAGTGATCTGGGCTCTCCTGGGCAAGGCCCTCTCGCGTAAGACGAATCTCTGAATAGAGGTGGTCGAGATGTAGGGGCTCCAAGCCAGCCGTGCTCTACACCTGGTCATGTGTGGGAGACAGTCCTGACTCGAGAGTGGGGGAGATAGAGGAAGTGGAAGGCAGGGTTAGAAGGGATCGAGCTAGTGGGGATGGGAAAGGAGCTGTCTCAGACGATGGAGGGCTCTAAGGTCTAAATGAGAACTGAGAGGAAAGGGAGAGCGTCAATACACAATGGGATGGTAGAGGACTCTATCTCATCAACTAATAGGTCTTCGTCATCAAAGGGGGAGCTGGTCGGAGCTCCTAAGTGATCGGAGGAAGTGTGTATCTCTTCTTCCGTCTCTGTGTCAAGCACATAGAAGTAAGAGTGGGTAGCCATGGGTGCTGTCTGGAGGGACTTGTGGGGGAAAAAGTCTGTAGCTTTGGCCTTAGGCCTATCCAGGTTAACCTCCTTGGGCTAGGTGGCCTCAGAGGTGACCTTGCCCTTGCCCTTTTGTCCCTTCGGATCGGGCCATGAACAGGGGCGTTACCCTTCTCCTTAGGGCACCCTGGGTGACAGTAGGTCCCTGCCTTGCTACGCGGCAACGGGGGGGCAAAGTAGGTCTGGGCTTGTTGTCCCTAGTGTAACATTCTGTAGCCCCATGTCCTACATGACTGCATAGGGTGTAGAATGGGGGAACTTTCACGTAGACCACTTTCTGGATAGTGGTCTTGCCCGCTTGGTCGAGCTCAATCTCCTTGATGAGCTCGTCTCTGAATCAATATCCACGCACACCCGTGTGACAGATAATCTTGAGCGGTTCGCTGTAGCGGCGTCAGTCTCAATAGAGTTGCCAATGCAGCTGGCAATCGAGAAAAGGAGAGAAGGATCAAAAAGATGTGGTAGGAGGCTCGGTAGGCAGTACCACACCGGGACGATGGGAGATTTTTCAACAAAAGAGAAATCAGGGGTGTATTTGAACACCTGACCAGAACATCCAGAGATATTGAGATACGTGTTAATCCAAATAGAATTGTAGTCCTCTTTCAACTCAAAAAAGTGTAAATAATGATTATAATTAAGGAACTTAGGAGACACTCTACATTTGAAACCCAATTTGTCCAGATCGACAGATAAATCCCAGTGGGAAGGGACAGTGAAGGAAAACTTCAAGATAAGTGCATTATCAAACGACCCAGCTAGGGAAATAACAGTGGGCTCAGGGAAACTTACCTTGAACCTGCCCTCCTCGGAGCGAGAGACGGTCCCGCTCTGTTTCTCATGAAAGGACTCCAACATCAGTCTCTAGTGGGCTGGTTTGGCTGTGGATGTGCCAGAAACCGCGTCTCGAAAGGAGCGTGCTCCGGTTTGGCGGGGGCCCTAGTTCTCCGATTGGGGAGGAGGGATGGCCGAGCTCGGTTCTCGTCCTGAGCTTTCCCTTGACGGTCGCTCGCTATGTTCTATTTCCGGCAGAGAAGTGGATGCCGAAGAGGGGTCGCGACCTAGTATTCCTGGCGTAAGTGATGGGGTTTGCCATTGCCGATGTTGGCCGATATGAAGTGCCTGGGCTCTACGGAAGAGGTATCTAGGTCGGTCCCGGAGGTTGCCGGCGAAGTTGCAGTCGACGGGGCAGAGGAGGGGACCGCAAGATGAAACATGGTATGTGTTCTGCCCGTTTTAGGTTGACCGGCGCCGACGCTGGAGCCGGAGAGAGAGCCGCCGACCGGCTTCAAGGGAGCTGAGGTGGTGGTCGTCGTTAAATGGTGCGTCGGTGGAGAATGGCGGCCCATCTGGGGTAAGTTGATGAGAATATTGGGCTTGATGTGGGAGGAGGAAGGGGATGGGCCTGATGGGTTGGGCCTTGTCAAAAGGTGG